AGTACTACACGCATAGTACAATAAAGTTTACCTCTTCACCATTTCTTTTTCTCACAGAAAATAAGAATAATTTAATTTGAGTCGAATACTAAAAGTGTTACATCCCATTTTATACTAGTTAAAAGTCAAATATTATTTATTCAAAGTCAAAAGTTAGACTAGTCAAATTCAAAGTCAATAAATTGTTTTACTGGGGTTTATTTTATATTTTAGATACTTGAGGATTTATAATGGACATCATTTAAATTGGAGGATTTCTTTTATAAGTATGGAAAGTTTAATAACCAGATTTTATACAAAACATAAAAGGAAGGACTTGAATAGCAAATATGGGAGTTAGGAGGACAAGTGTCATTGTAGAGGCCATTTCTTCATTTTCTATTCATATAGACACATACATCCAAAATGCTGAAATGGGAAAAAGAAGCCAGGAAAAAAAAAATTGGAGGTGTCGGCCAACGATGCATAGGAGGGAAGATACACTTCTTCAAGTATTGGGTTGTCTTTCATATCCTCATTCCTTCTACAATCTCAAGTGAGTAAGTTTTATACAAACTTAGATTCCTTATTTTGGGTCAACAAGTGGAAAATAAGCCCAATTTCTTGACGGTCTAGTATGGATAAACTATTTTTTTTTTAAAGCTTTTAAGTTATGTGAATCAAATATATATTAATTCTGGGGTCGGAACTTTGTGGACAGAAATTCAGCTAGTAGTTGGGTTAGAATTGAAATTTAAATAAAGAAACCAAAAGGCAAGTGAAGAATTGTCAATTAATGATTTGTTTGGTACCTGTATATGTATGTGTATAGTGACTGAAATTATTAAAAGGGGGACATACCTAATTACATAGCTTGATGCAAGTGTGGGAAGTTGTAAATTGGTGAAGAAAGAGATGAAATAGTGTTTAATTGGAATTAAATTTAGCTTAAATGTGGTAAGTTCTTTATTTAATTAATTTTATTATTACAGTAGCAATGAAAAGGGAAAGGATGAAAAGTGTAGATAGAAGATGTTGGAAGGCAATATGTTATTGTGCTAATATCGTAGGGAAATGAATGTGGAAGAAGAATATATTCTGTAAATAAATATGGCTTCGTAAACAAAAAAATGTTATGCTGTATGGAAATTAAAAAGGGAATAAAGGGATTGCATAAGGAATGGATTAAATTGTGTAAAACGGTTATATATTTATAAGGTAGTGATTTTAAGAAAGTATAGTAATTTAATGGATTTGATTATGAGTTGTGATAGTTTGGCAAATAATCAAAGAGGAGAAGAGTTGGAGAAATAGAGGTGAAGGTAAACATGGAAGCTAAGGAATTATGTGGCGGATTAGCATTGATTTAATTGGCAAGTTTTAATTTGAGTAATTATACTGTTATTTCAGGTAGTGACATGCAAGCTTGGAAATGCTCGTCAATTTAATCAAATTTATATCCATATATCAGTGAGTGGAAAAATATAAATATTATTAAAATATTTATAAATTAAGTATATTGTTAAAGTAAGTGCAATTATATGCAATTATGTGTTCGAATTACATGATTATTATGGAAATATCTTTTATTATGATACATGTGGGATTTCAAAGATTGTAGACGGTACATTGTGAATTGGAATATGAGATGTGATTTTGAGGTCGACCAAAAAAGTACCCGTGATTATATACTTCTAGTTCACAGAGGGGCATTGCTGTATTCTATCCTACACGGAGGGTCTTGACCTGACATTGGTCTTGATCGTGTACATATAGTTCACAGAGGGGCCTTGGCCGTGTTCTAGAATTGATTATGAGAGGTCTTTGAGACCAGCTTTCGTTCACGGAGGGGGCCAAAGGCCCGTGGTGAAAGTTTTTAGCCCGAGGGGCAGATTACAGATTTTAGTCAGATGGTACATTTTTCGTGGATTTTTTAGTATGTTTGGTGTGATGAGATTATAGCGTGGTTATCAGCTAATATTTATATCATGATTTTAAGATGATATTTTACGAGCTTAAGTGAATATTTCACTTTTGGTTATAATTCACAAGATTACATTATGTTATCTTGTGAATTATTAAATGATATGAACTCGATTTTCAATAAAAATGTAAAAATGAAAAAGTATAATTATTTTCGAACTTCTCCACTCATTAAGCTATCAACTCATATATTTTCCCGTAATTTTCCTACGGGTGGAAATTGATTCTTTTTAGCTGGATGAGCCTATTGATTTTCAAATGAGAGCCACACGATAAGTTGAATATTATAACTCATATTGATGAAGCACGAAGTAAATATTTTGGACCCATCGCATTATGTTTTACACAAGCATTTGATTTGTTGCATTTTTTGATATAACTCATAGTCAGCCTTGGCGATAGATTTGACATCTAGTCAGCATCTATCATCGGCGCACGTCACGTTTCGAGTCCACTAGGGTGATTCGGGACGAGTTGTGTCAAAGTGGTATCAGAGCATGGTTTTGAAAATGGTTCGTGCATGTTCAGTGGATATGATCACATGTCGTGGTAGCAGAAATCACAGGCTCTCTAGCTTGAATGTATGGAACCAAAAAATGATAGAAAAATATTTTTAACGGATCCAGAAATGGATAGTATGTAAGTATGATAGTTGTAATGATCTAATGATTGAAATTATTATTAGTTGCTGGGTTGGAACTATGGTATATGTAAAATATTAAAAGTTGAACAGATTTTGATGATTTTGCAGTTTGTTTATGTATAGGCATTCAAAGTGATAGATGGTACGATCACTTAAGTATCAATTCATTTTTGCACAATAATACAAGGAAATTATATAATATGTGTAATTGGTGATAATCAGTGTGGATTTTGATCGTTTTGGGAGCTAACTGATCATTAGCGCTATCGAAAATTGTGGTGAATTTTGGTCATTTAATTGGGATGAGAGTAGGAAGCATGTTGGTCTATACTTATGCTATATGATAAAAATTTTGTGGACAAAATGATAAGATTATATAGAAAGTTGATCAATAAAATACAATGTTATGTTATGTATATTACACATCGAGGATAATTAACATTCATGCGTACTTCATGAAAAATCTAGGATGGGATTAAGATTGCCTTGACCAATTAAATGATGGGTTAAAAATAAGAAAGATTAGTGACAAATGAGGTTGAAAAAAAAAACAAAATAGAGGAAAGGATTAAGAGTTCCACTCGAGGAAATAAATTTTTTAAGAATATATATTTAGGGACATGTGATCGGAAGTGGACAAGAATAGAAAGAAAATAGTAGGAATTAGTGTTAAATCACTATGTGCAGGTTATATGCAATAGTAACATAAATTTAAGGATGTGAGGAAAGAAATGACATTGGTTTATGTATAAGTATGTGTGTATTTATCGAAAGAATGAGAAAGGAAAGAAAAATAGAATAAAATAAAGAGAGATGTATGGATATCCATTGAGGTTGTGAATTGGGTGAGTATACGATCACTAGTGTGTAATTAATAAATTGTTTTATGGGTATTTCAAAGAAAGTCTCTTGTATATGTTTTATTTGATAGGTATTGACAAGTGTTGTGATTAAGGTATTTTGAGAGAACATTATTTAAGGAGGCTGGGTTATTTTTAAAGAATTAAATGTTGATGTTTATTATTAGAAATTTTTGGGAAATTTGCTACTTTGTAGATCATGGAAGGATGAGGTACATGCATAGACATAATCAATATTTGAAGCATTGATCATATTACGTATATGATTGACTGGTTTTAATTTTCTCTTTGGGGTGTAGAAAAGTGGGGACAATCTAATTCTAAAGAAAAGCAAAAAATAAATAAATAAATTATTTGACTATAAGAGAAAAGAACGTTAAATCAAGAAAATATATTCTAAATGGAGAGAATAAAGAAACCATGAGATGTGGGACGTTGTGGACACATTCCTAAATACTATGAAATGATATTTTTTTTTGGGTGTCAATTTTATCGACTGTTTCTTCAGCTAGATTTTTATTGGGATCTTATGAATAGTGTACTACTCCTATTATGATAATTTTTATGGAACTTATTGATTATATGTTAGCGCATTTTAAAATTGAAGATGATTTACAAGTTCAAGCTTTAGTTAGAATAGACGATTAGTTTAGATTTTGTCATTTTAGTGAAGGATATTAATGTAGATACACAAGAAAGATATACTGGATTAGAATATCACTTTGAGGTGATTTATAAAATTATATATAGATAAGATTGTTATTGGTAGGTGGAGTTTGAGTATTTATTTTTGGATTAGTCGTAGGGAGTTATATAACTAAATTTCATTTTGCAGCTTTTTAGAAAGTCAACACTATGAAGACAAGTTCAGAAGACAGGCTATCAACTATGGTTGGTTAATTAAAGGAGAATTGGATAATTATTATTTTTCATGAAATTGACATATAAGAACTAGACACTAGTGACGATAATTTAGGTTATATATGTTATTGAAATAGTTCAAGGATGTACCTATTGTGATGAAATTGGTGAAAGAATGTTAGTCGGTCTTAGTGTGTAACCATTGTAATAGAAGAGGGATTTGATTAGAGAATAGTTCAAATCATAATGTAAGATGAAGTTTGGGGAGAATATGGAAACTAGTATCATGAATTTCAAATGGGCGAATAGCTGAATATTTTTTTGAGATATGGTAACTTGAAAAGTTGAGAATATTATATATTGCTTTTTGAAATGTTATTTAAAACTTGGGTCCAATTGTTTCATGATGGAGTTCACAATGGTTTTATCTGGTAGTTAGGAATGTATTGTTTATTTCTAAGGCTTTGTAAGTAGATATCAAATTTAACTTATGCGTTAAGATTACTAGTGAAGTTAAAGAGTGGTCTATTTAGAAAAGCCAAATAAGATGCAATATGAAAGAATGATTTGTGTCTAGTTCAAGACTGCAAGAAAAAGTATTCATCGTGGGTGTTTTGTGCCTTTTATGTGTTTGAATTCTAGTTGATTGAATTTCGATGACTAAATTCTTTAAAGGAGGTAAGATTGTTACATTCCATTTTATCTACTTAAAAGTCAATATAATTTATTCAAAGTCAAAAGTTAGACTAGTCAAAGTCAAAGTCAATTATGGACTTAAATGAAATAAATCGTTTTATTGGGGTTTATTTTATATTTTAGATATTTGAGGATTTATAATGGACATCATTTAAATTGGAGGACTTCTTTTATAACTATGGAAAGTTTAATGACCAGATTTTATACAAAACATAAAAGGAAGGACTTGAATAGCAAATATGGGAGTTAGGAGGACAAGTGTCATTGTAGAGGCCATTTCTTCATTTTCTATTCATACAGACACATACATCCAAAATGCTGAAATGGGAAAAAGAAGCAGAGAAAATCGGTGGAAAAAAAAAAGAAAAATAAAATAAAATTGGAGGTGTCGGCCAACGACGCATAGGAGGGAAGATACACTTCTTCAAGTATTGGGTTGTCTTTCATATCCCCATTTCTTCGACAATCTCAAGTGAGTAAGTTTTATACAAACTTAGATTTCTTATTTTGGGTCAACAAGTGAAAAATAAGCCCAATTTCTTGATGGTCTAGTACAGATAAACTGTTTTTCATTTTTTAAGCTTTTAAGCTATGTGAATCAAATATGTATTAATTCTGGGGTTGGAATTTTGTGGACAGAAATTCAGCTAGTAGTTGGGTTAGAATTGAAATTTAAATAAAGAAACCAAAAGGCAAGTGAAGAATTGTCAA